ATTTCCTCCTTATTCCTTTGCATTAATTTGCAATGCAAAAGGAAAAAAAACACACAATTTTATACCTTGTTGGTAATATTTTAAGCTTGTATGTATTTTTATTTTTGTTATTTAATCCCATGCCAAGCCTTAAACCTCTGCTACTCCAACATGCAATTTATTTCTATTTTTTTAGCTTTTGAAAGGGGGCAAATCAATAAATATCATAACTTACACACATCAAAAACTATTTGATTTTCCTAACCGTTACCTGAAGGTTCAGATTGAGAAAACTTTTGTTCATTTAAGTAAAATGCAACTATGTGGGACTCCTGGTCATAGCTTATTTACACACATTATCTCTTTTTAGGCTGTAAAAGGTAAAACAGAGGTGCTTGTCTGCATCTCCATTAATGTGCAGCAAACCCAGCTACCAAACAGCATACACAGTGAGGGAGCTCCCTGCTACATAAATGGAAAAAGCTTGTGAAAATCAAATAATTTCCCCACCTGACACCACCTCCTACACCCACTTCACTGAATATGAGTCAATCCGCACATACATTAGGTCAAATTAAACAGACAGAGATGAGCATGCTTTCTGTGTTTCAGACTCCATGTCCTGATATGATGATTTAATCGTCATTCGGACGTGTAGTGCCCACACAGCATCTAATGCTCCAGAAATCTAGGAGCAATGTGAGCAACTTTATCGGTACGTGCATTATAAGTGTAATGGATTTTATTGATATTTTTGTGGCAAAATGATGTTGCCTGTAGAACTAAGGGTTTGATTTTTGCATATGAAGCTGTCAACTATCCCTCACTGTACATCTCCCATTAGCTTGTCTTGTCAGAATTTGTTTCGATGACATTTTGAAAAAGGTCACAAACTGAACTCATTCCTTGTGCTTGTTTATCAGCGTGTTGGTGTGCATGTATCTACTGTATCTTCCCAGTGTGCACATGAATTCAATAATCTGGTGTCTGTTCCACACCAGCATATGGCCTTGGAGCTTCTGTGGGTCACATCTCTCATTGTTGTTGCTCTCTTTACATCTTGAATTTATGCTCGCGATCACACCGAGACAGAAGGCCACCTTCAGACACACATCGTGGATCAATGCTCAGCTTCAAGTGAGTGTGTCTGATGATGATTTAATATTATTAAGAAAGTAATAGCCACTAGATTGGTTTGTTTTTGTGAGTGTGTGTGAGTGTAAAAAACAAATGTGGCAATAGTCACGATGGTAGTTTCTTCCCATAACCTTTTTGTATTGACCTATTCATGGCATCTGTAAACTAAATGCTCCTTAATGTTCTAGATCCACAATTCAATTACGGAGTAGTTCCCTCTAATGTAACATCCAACATCAAGAATGGTGTTTTCCAAAACCCCACAGTGCCTCATTAGTGACATTTTTCCCCAGGAAGGACTTCGGGGGAGGATGTTTGTTTTTCAGACGGTGTTTAGAACTGAGCGCTGAGGCACAAAGTCTGAAAAGATGAAGCATCTGATATGAGGGTTATTGAAATAACAGACCAAATACATCGTATTAACACTGGGATGCTTTGTTTTTTCTTTTTATACAGTTATCGCAGTAGTTATCTGTTAGATCAGTCCGTCGTTTTGGCCTAATCTAAAATATCCAACACAAGCTGAAATGATTGCTATGAAATGCTATACAAAGTAAACTATAAAAAGCTACTGAAATTGGTGCTTGTTATATTTTCTGCTCTGAACAATTTAAGTAAGTTTGATGGTGTTTTTAACTTTTCATTTTCAAGGAAACAGCTTTCTATACAGTTATGAGTAAGCATTTCTGTATGCAACACTTTTACATTTTTCTTCACAGTCACTTTATCACTTAGCCAAAATGTGTAATTTAAGGCTCAGTTGTTATAGACTGACCTGTCCAGATTGTGCCCTGCCTCTTTTTGACCACTTGAGGGCAGCAGAAATAAGTTGTGACAATGTTGACATTGGTCAATAGGCCTAATCACCTCATAAATTATAGTTTATGCTTGCCTATTTAAATATCAAGAAGTAATAGTAATACAGCCACATTACCATTAATTTTGGGATCTGTCTGCCCAAAATATGAATATAAATCTGATATTATCTGGCCTTTTTTTTGTTTTGTTTTGTTTTGACGATTTATTTAGCAGCTAAATGCTACCCTGTGTTCACCAGCTGTTTGAGTGCTTTAACCTGAAACAGCTGTCTGCTTTGGCAGAAACCAATGTTATGAGAGCACTGAGTGTGCCAAAGCAATAAGACTGCAGGCTGGACAACCATATAGTGCTAACTGGAAGTCATTAACTGAACGGCATTCCTAAACACAGGTCATTGCTCTGGTTTTGTCACTTCATCACTGCAATTTTCAAATTCTTATTAAAATTTGATAATATATCATTAAAATATAGATAAATTAAATCAAATATACATTTAAAATATTGATAATAAAAGAATTAAGTGTATGAATTATTAACAAAATAACAGCATTGATATTTTTTGACATGCGTTTGTTAGCATACTGACGTTAGCATTTAGCTCAAGGTTCACTAGCACCATGACAAAGTCAAGCATTATCTTAAATTTTGCGTTAGAAGAGAACAAAGTTGTTATGGCAGTGGCCAGTAGAATAAATGCACATTTGTCCAAATCATTCATCTTTAACCAGAAGTGGGCGTCCAACTAAAATCTGTCTTCACTATCCTTCTTCTAGCTGTGGAAATGGCTGTCAGTGAGAAAGTGTGTTTAGAGGAGGGGATCTAATTTATCCTATGTTTTTGGCTACTACTATATTATGTATGTATGTGGCACCATCGCATTAGCTCAAATCACGTTTTTAGTTCAAAAGATTTTCAACACCATCTGTAAACTTCCTCTGCAGTTTGCTGAAATAGCTAGAGAACGCATTACTATCAGTGAAAAAAATGTTTGGATAACGTTGGCTTGCTGTGATTTAAAAGACTCTTCGGTGTCAGCCATGTTTAGGATCACTTCCCCTGTATGGGTGAATGGTGGTAGTATAGCATTATGAGGTCTGAAGGGTTTGTTCAAACCGATTACAGCTCCCTTTCCCTGAAAGCATCTGACAGGGTGCTGGAAAAGAAACTCTGACTGACTGGCAAATTGATTTGAAGAGTAGAAATTTTTGCTGGCTCTCAAAGCACAAGGATAATCTTTTTTTCCTCCTCAAAGGTAGCTGTAAGGGTAGCAGGAATGGCTCTTGATTTCATGTGGCTTTGTAGAAAAATGTCACTAAGTTCCCCAAGGTGTCCCACACTCACAGGAGTTTGGGCTGTCGGAGCTGGAGCCCAAGCTGCTTAATCATCCATAGAATGAAAAAAGTGCTTGCCTGCTATTATTTGGTTTATTAAAGAGAAAAACTGAGCTACATGTCTCTTTGACAAGGATTAAGGAGGTATCTGAAATTTGTGAAATATATTCCTGTGCTAACAATGCAGATCCACTTTGCAGTGACATCTTTCTTAAGTGTGCCGTGGATGGATTTATTCAGAGCAGAGACAGAAGACTGCTATGTGACCTGTCTTCTTGTGCTAGCAAACAATGCTAAAAAAAAATAGCCAGAGCCAAAACTGCAACTGGCAACTGTAAAACCAGAGCATGTGCACTATTCTGGTTTTTTACCCCAAATGAAGGATACAGGAGTCATACGCCTGCCAAAAAAAGTAAATGATTGAGTTTTTTGTTGTTGTTGTCATTTTGTGCTGCAGTTTCACATAAATGACAGAGAGCTGCTTCTGTGACTCTTAGTGGACTGTGAAACACAAGAAGCTGCACATTTTGAAAGGAACTCAAACTACCAGCTGAAATGTGCGACTCATCCTCCTCCACATGACAGCGCACATCTGTCTGTCAACTATAATTCAGAGAGCAGAGAATCTCACACGCACACACACATTGCACTCTTAGAGACTTGTTACTTTCACTAATGTTTTTCATTGTAATTGGAAAAAAAAGGGTATAAATTGTGTTGCAACCATTAAATTGGGAACTGTTCACAGCCTACAGACTGTCATTTTAACAATTATTGCAAACCAAACTGTGCAGATAAAACGAATCTGGGTATGACATAAAGTGTGATGTACCTAGACAGAGCGATGATGCCCATTCCTGATTGGTAGGCTTTTCTGTTTATTTCTATGCGCTTCTTCTTTGGCGTAATCTTGATTATAGCTCAAGGAAATAGCTCAAACGAGGCTTTGCAGACACAACTTTATTTTTTTTTTCGGTGTGGAATCCAAAACATTACATTTTGAATATTTTATCTCCAGCTATTGTGTGGGTTTATTCTGGTTTTTTGTTGTTGTTTTTTTCTTATCAGTCTACATTGATACTTGTAGAACACAGGAAGGTCATAGCAGCAGCACAAAGTGAGATGGCTATCCCACATTTCTGAGGCCTTAGTGAACAGAGGCCTAAAGGTCGGTCGGTGACCCATGGCAACCTCCAGTTGTTAAGAAAAAAAGTGTATTTCCTGACTGGTTAGTCCGCGGACACTTGCTAACTGCTGGCTGAGCACTATAGTGGAAGTAGAAAAAATGAAAGGGAAACCAGAAACAGAGAGTATTCTTATTGTTGTGCCTTACTGATGCAGCCAACACATTTCAAAAGGTGTAACGTTTACTTTACAGAGGATCACTGATAAGACTATGGCTTTCATCACAACCACTTGCAACTGGTCAGAGAATACTAAGGCTACGTCCGCACTAATGCGTTTTCATTTGAAAACGCATCGTTTTCTCTCTGTTTTACCCTCCCGTCCACACTGAGACGGCGCTTTCCCCAAGGAAAAACGCAGCCTTTTGGAAACGCTCTCGAAAACGCATACATTTCAAAACAGAGCTGTCCCATCGCAGTGTGGACACTCGAAAACGCAGACTTTCTAAAACGATGACGCATTTTAGTCATGTGATGCAGTCATGTGCCCAATTAAACAAAGATAGCGGAGGGCATTATACAGCAGTTGTTTTGACTGCTCTCAATTTTGACAGCCCTAAAAAAGATTAATATTAGTTTGTACACGCTCCAGATAGCTTTTCTTCAAATTCTTTAATTCTCACTCGCTTTTGCGTATGCGCGGAACTGCAGCGTCAGCGTTTTCTGCTGTTTTAGTGTGGACACGCAACTCTTTGAAAACAACTGAAAGCGCCGTTTTCAAATCTATCCGGGCTAGTGTGGACGTAGTCAAACGAACTTCATTAGCTACCGGTGGTTGCAGGGGTTCAGGAGCTAATCTCTAGGCCTGTGTGACTGAGGCTTAACAAAATCCAACCAACAACAGCCATTTGAGCCTCTCACTGTAGAAATAAGAGCCTGATGTTTTGCCACACTTACTTCATTTTGGTCATCTTTGGTTTGGAAGAGTCTGTCATACACATTGTTTCCTTTGTTACGCTAGAGTATGCTAACTGACTGAGGATTGAAACTAATATCTAAGGAGCATAAAAATGATTTGATTCAACAAATTTAAGTTAAATGATTGTTAGGAGGGATTGTAATATCAACAGCAAACCACTGCACATTGAATTTGATGGTTTGACAGTTAACAAAATACTTTTTTTTTCCCGCGCAGGAAGGCAACTTCCTACGCAAAACGCAACATAAATATAGTTTTTGGTTTTATATGTTAGCAGCAGTTTGATTAGTGGCTTCAGCCCACTTGCATTTCTCTATAACAACACAATGTGTAGTTTGTGTGTTTTAGTGGTGGAACTAAAACCCATGAGAATCCACATAATAGCTCAGACTGTACCCTGTGTTGACTAGGGCCATTTTTCATGAAGCCATGATTGATCAGCTGGTAAATGGGAAAAGGCATTTGCAAAAACAGCCCTAGAGGATAAAATACTGGATGAATGGATATGAAATGTCGCCTGCTACATTTTCATACTTTACAAAAGAGGCGTTTCACTTAATGATGTGTCCTCCATTAGCTGTCATTCAGTCAAAAGATGATAAATCACAAGCTTATGCAAGCAAACTACTTTGCATTCGATCTGTGAAGGACAATAAGTGGTACATGCGTTGTTTAGCATAAAGCTAAACACGCCATAATTGTAATGTTACATCTGGATCGAACAGACTTGACAAAAAGCAGGAAAAGGGAGGCCGGCATTTCCAGACAATATGCTGCATGCCTTTTGTATGTAGTAGATGTTTGAGATGTCCTCCTCACTCTCATTTAGGCTCCAGGATTCCAGACTTCCTCCTTTCTTGTATCCATGCATCACAACATCCCCGTTTGTGAGAATCCATGCCTCTCGATCCTCTCGAGAAAATGCAAAAAACAGTTTAAGCCAGAGAGAGAAGCAGGACAGGAAGCACAGATGCTTACATAACAGCCTTATTCTGGGAGGGGGGCTTGGTATTTGAAACTTGCATACCAATGTCCATTATCAGACTCCCACTCCAATGTCTTTCCACAACCCCTGCCCCCCACCGTGTATCTGATAGGCCAGGTTTCAGTGAGTACACATTTGGGCCTCCACTGAAGTAAGTTTCAGCTGGACTGTTATACTGTGTTTGTCTGTCGGGGCCAGTTCATATGAATGTCCAGACCAATGGTATGTAAACTGATTTTTCCTCTGGGTAAATATTTAGATCTCTTCCCACGTCTTTTTTTTTTTTCATGTTTTCCTGTGTTTGACTCCCAACAGGTAGTGTTGGTGTTAAATGTTAAATACCTTTTCTGCCAGCTTCTCTCCCACTTAAAGGAAGCAAGTAATGTGTAGTTCACCTACAAGTCTGGCTTGGACTGAAAAAGATAAGAGGGTTATTAAAGACCTTCCGTTCAGAGGGAGAAACCCCAGTGTCTCTGGGTTTCTTGGCCACCAGTAGCAACAGCCTTGCCGACCCTGTACAGCAGTATTTATAGAGCACTGTGGATGAATCATTCGGCTGAGTGCCCATTCTTCGTTCACCAGATTTACAGGTCCCACTCCAGGGAGGGACGCCTGATTTATGATGCAACCCACCTCCCTCCACCACTAGCTCCCACCCCACCCCACTCACTTCCTTCAGGGGCTCTTCAGAGAAGAGCAGACACACCATCTTGCCTCCGGTTTGCCATTTCACTCATCGCTTTCTGTCCTGCAGTCGTTTCGCGTGTGTCTCAAAAATGTGCTTCCTCCGCTCTTTCAGCTCCTTTGACAGAAGTATACTGTATATTGAGAAAAAGGCTTCCTGAGAGGCATGCAGACACGCTAGCCTTGGCCTGACCTCGCCTAACTGCCGCTGATCGATGTGTCACATTGACCTGCGTTTGACTTAGCAAAATGAAGTTGTAGAAGACTTATATGACGTGGAGGATAAGCAAAGGAAGGTGGGGGAGAATATGAAGTGCAGCGGACTGTGTTTCAGCAGAAAAATAGGGTGATAGAGCTGCTAGTGGTGCACAACAAGAACAGATGAAGAAGTGGCACGTGGGGGTCAGCAGTAAGCAGCAAGAGCGTGGCTTTCGCTACCTCAGCCTTCACCTGAGAGGGGGCACGTCTTCATCTGCATCCCATGGATCTAAACTATAACCCAGGTGTGTCTTTTTGCATACCAATAATGAAAACCAATATGTCTGTATTTGATTTAGACAGTGTCATTATGAGATGCTTTTTGGACTTAATTCAAAGTGAAGGATCTGACGTCAGGCACAAAGCTGCTTGTAGTTCAGTTGCAAATTTCTGTTTTTCTGGGATATATATATATATATATATATATATATATATATATGTGTGTGTATATGTATATAAAACAGAATGTGAGCAGATGGATGTTTTATAAGTTCCACTTTATGGTTTACAGTTTTTGCAGCTGTGATTGATTTTGAGAAGAAAGAAGTTATTAATTTTCCTTCCATTGGTATCATTTTTGTAAATATGCTTTGTGATAATTGAACTATTTCTGACAAAATAATTAATAACATATATAGTAAACTAGGCATTAATATTTCATACAGAATGTGTTTGACCAGATGGAAACCTGTAAATATTCATGGCTAATGGTACACTAACTGTTAGGGATGTAATACTTCCAACACCATTTGATACCAGAATTCTTAAAACACATCAGTACTGGGGGGGCACTTAGGTACCATTGGCGGTATATGTACCAAGGCTGCAATTCCTTCAAGACTGATGGGGGCAGCATACGCCTACAGATGCTGTTTGTGTAATATATGTGCAGCGTTAGCTGCAACCTGACTTGTCAGGCAGTAAGACTTGAGGTTATCCCAAATTACCTTTTTCTTTGAGACAGTTGGTATAGCCTGTGGTGTTTCATAGGCTAAAATGTTTGCAGTAGCTAACATTATATGAACGCTGAAGCTAACATAAAGTAATATACGTTAGCTTTAGCTAACTAAAACATTATACCTTGTGTCCTTTTGACAAAATATTATGTTTTAAATAATTTAAAAGAAGCTTTTAATAATGGAGGTTGTGACTAAGTACATGAAATAACCTTTTTTTTTTCTTTTTTTGAGAATTATGTGCTTCTACTGGTGGTTTTACCAGCTACTCATTGTATTGTGTCGTCCCTGCTATAGGAGGACTACAACTGATAGCTCAAAACAAGTAACTGTGGCATATTTTTACAAAGTACAGCTAATTTCCGTGATTTTACTTAGTTTTCTCTAAGCCCTAGCCTTGTTTCCCTGTCTTTCTCTAGTTGAACCAAACAGCTCAACCTGTCCTCATACGATTTCAGTTAACTTGCCACCCATTTCTGATTGCTGCTCACATCAGGTGAGAATCTACAGTCTGATGCTCGTGGTTTTTGATGTCAGGGTTTGATGCCATTTTTCTTTTTCATTGAATTAGAAATATTTTAGGAGTCAAAACTAGCTTGTTTGGTCTTATTACATAGACTTTGAGCCACAAAACAAAAGCTTGTTTGGGTTGATTTCACAATTAGAAATAACTTTGATCATGCAGAATATTTGAGTTCAGTTAATTTTTAAACTATTATTTCATCTTTGTCTATGCTAGATCTTTGTAAGGCATTATTAGTGTGGGGGTTTCTTTCTTTGTTTTGTTTTTTATTTTTTACACCTACAGGAGCTGCTCAATCATGGATAACAGGCTGTGAAGCTTTAGTGCAGTTTATACTGATGTTAATGCCAGAGTAGGTTCGGAGGTCTGCAGTTATTAAGTCAGCATTTGGCAACCCTACTAGTGATGTGTCGGTCGTGAACGAATTGGCTCTTAGAGCCGGGTCTTTGACATGAAAGACGCGATCCGGCTCCTTATCGAAAGCTGTGGGGGTTTTTTTCCCCCCTTTCTCTCACCCTCTCTCTCTCACACTTTTTTCCCGCTTCACTCTGCATGCGAGTCTTGTGCTTTGCACTGGGAAGAGGGAGGAGGGGTGGTAGTTACACTTGCAGTTGCACAGGAAGAGAGAGAGAAAGAGAGCCAGGGACAACAACATCACATTAGAAAGGTATAGTAATCATCCACAACTATTTTCAGTTGCGGATGATAAAGGATTCAGAAAGTTTATTCATGCAGGCCCATATGACAGAGAATGTGCATCTTCTTTTTGTTTTCATATTTTAATTTATATTTAATTGTGTTGTGGTTTGCAGTGTTTTGTGTTGTTTCACTTTAAATTTGTTTAAAAGGAAAAAGCTGAAAATTTAAATAGTTAAAAGTTGAAATGTGAATAGTTGGTTTTTGTATTATATGATTTATTTATTACATTTTATGTGGAGTGAATAAATAAAAGTATATTTACGGTGGCCCCTACGAGACAAAGCACGTACAAACTCCAAAACATGTGCAAACTCCAAAACACGTAAAAACTCCAAAACACGTACAAAACACAACAGAAGTGCTCCAGGATGCTGGGGCAGTGTTGAGCTTTTGTTACCTAGTGGCTACACAAGAGCAAGTACCAACGACCGGATTTGGTGTGTGGTAGTAACAGGTAAATGAACTTTTTTTTAAATTATTTGAATATATATGAGTGCTTGTGTATAAATACACAAACAATACACATATGCTTTCAATTGTGTAATTTAAGTGATCTAGGTAGCTCTGTTTTGGAAGTTCAGTTAACGCTAGAATGTGTTTTGGAGTTTGTACGTGCTTTGTCTCTAGGGGCCACCCTATATATTTATATATAAACATATATAAATAAAACCACTTTTTTTTTACATTAGTAATTCCTTTTGTGCATAATTTTATATTATTGTTAATAATAAATTAATTAAAGCAACAAAACAACCTGAAGAGCCGGTTCGGAGCCGAAAGAGCCGGTCTTTCTTAAAGAGCCGAACCGAAAGAGCCGGTTCTCTAAAAAGAGCCGGAAATCCCATCACTAAACCCTACTCTCTATCTTTACCATGTCATTTCAAAATTACAATTTAAAGTCTTTCAAAGGAATAACATCCATAAACCATACACAATATATGTAAGTGTGACTCAATTTGGTTGCACTATGCATATATGTAGCTTTAAAATAAATCTTGCCAGAGGAAGAAAAATTATGCTTGGTGGAGAACATTCTCCTAGCCGGTTCAAATTTCACTTTGCTTGGCTGCTTGGGAGAGATAACAGAACAGAGTCCTGAACTCACAGCTCCCCGCCTGCTTGTAAATCCATCCTAGTTAAGACATTCTCATGTGAAAATCCAAGGCAACAAATGAGGAGAGAAACTAGACAAAAGAAATACTGTATTGTACATAATGTTTGGCTACACATGAGAAAAAGTTGAATGATGGCAGTGAGGAGAGCAAAGGTGGGAACAGTGAATTAAAGCAGTCTGGGAAGTTGTAATGAGTATTTCAATAAAAGTGATGTGTTAGAAGCCAAGAGTGCAAACTGACTCTCCTGACTTTAGCTGAGACATCCTGAAACCTGTCACATTTAAACCAAAAATGTGAAAAGTGTTGAATGAAACCAACATGTCTCTTTGATTACTTAACTGGTGGGGAGGTGGCAAGTAATGATGCTAGACCAACTAATAATATCAGCTTTGTAGAGTCTGCATATTCTCCACAGGCGTGTGTGGGTTCTCTCCAGCTACGCTGGCTTCCTTCCACAGTACAAAGACGTCCGTGTTTTTAAATTAACTGGGGATTCTAAATTGGCGCCGAGTGTGGATAGCTGTCCATCTGCAACATTGCAACATATTGGCAACCTATCACTGCAGTCATAGCCTCTCACCTTATGATAAGTCTTTGCTGTACTAGTGGAAAAACCTCAGCAGAAGGTCAACACTGAGAGTCTTCATCATCATCTGCATTTCTTTGTCTCTCCAATGCATCACTTTCTAGCAGACAGTGCAGTGTTTTAGCCAACTTTGTCAGGGGGGAAAAAATAGTGCTAGCAATGCTGCAGTGATCAATATGTAGACTCACTTGTTCGTCCATCTTACTGAAGCTCACACTAAGCACTGAATGTCCAGATTGCAGATATTTTCATACCTGAGTGTTTTATGGTGCACAAAGGGGTTTTCGAGAAAGATGACAATCAGTGTATTTGAGGAGGTCTTTGTGCAGCATGGGTAAGGGTTGCAGAGATCTCCACAAGCAATTTCAGCAACATCTTAAAAAATGAATACAAAGCCATCCTTCAGATGTGTGAATATAGAACTAAAACTCAATAAACTGGTAAAAATCTCCTCAAAATTGTGAAACTTTGATCTTAGAGCCAGTATATTCACCCAGTCACCTGACCCTATTAAGCAGATTATTATAGAAGTGCACAGTGTAACTTGGAAACACATTTCCTAATAGTTATCCATATTTATGTTTCTTGTAGAAAATGCATTGGTGGGAATCTCACGTCCAGGATGATAGATGATGACTGCCAGTCAGATTTATCTCTATCAAAATAACGTTGCCCCGACAGGCTCCTCAATCTCTCTACATCGCTACAGCAATCTAGGAAATGAAAATACTGATTTATGCTTCTCATGGAAGTGTCCAAAATGACTTCATTTTACAAGGTGAATGAAATTAAAGGAAAAGATCATTTGTGTTTTCCGAATTTCTATTCTTCACAAGAGCTGAGCTAGAGAAAAGCTTGCATGCATATATATTTTTAAGTCTATGGGTTCTCGTGGGGAAAATAGATTGAACCGTCTGTTCTGCCTCCATTATTCAAAATATACCAGAAGTCACGTCTCCACAGCCCTGTGTGAAAGGTTCAAAGGGCTTCCCAAAGGCCAGGCTGACTCAGACTACTTATTTTGACTGCAGGGACTGCAGGTGTGCATCTACCCTGAGGCCCTCATCAGTGCTGAAAGCTGATATTAGAAGGTATTACTGAGTGGGGCAACAGGTACTTTGTCAAGTCCACTCCTTGTTCTTTTCTCTGGTGAGGATAAAGGAAAAGCTCACTGCAATCTTCAAGCGCCAGGAAGTTTGTCTCCCAGTGGCTCCATCAACAATATTGTAATTGATTTTAGTAATCAAGTAGCAAACTGCATCATCTAAAAATATCCTTGTTAACAATGAGGATATTTGAGGCTGATGACATGTCTTTATTTTTCTTTTTCCTCTTTTTTTTTTTGCTTTTTTACCACAAAAGTCCT